AAGAATTTAGTTATAGAAACGTAAAGCCACATCGATGAACACGATTTTTATGCTGTTCGTAAGTCAAACGAGTTAGTAAAATTGTTGTATTCTTCCACTGCTGACAGAACTTCATGGCAATCTTGTAATTGCAACTCAGACTGCTGCATCACTGATGCTGCAGCTTTGATTACGTCATGGGACATGTGTTGCTAGCCCAGAATTATTTAAGTACATTATCCTAATATCTTTTCTTCTTATCTTACCTGCTGAATTTAGACTATGTATTTGCATTGATAAAAATTGACTGCTTTTCTAAACTTTACTGCGTATAGCAGCGTCAACTCACTGTTACTCGATTAACTTACTAGCACCAAAACCTAAGTTTGCCAGCTCAGGTACTTTGTAGATGGAGAAGAGCTAATTCGGAACTTCAGAACTTATGACCACGATCAACTGGCTCTTTACCAGTGTCTGTTTTATAGAAACTATCGACGAAAGTATCCAGTGGTTATTCAACTTCGAAAGACTTCAAGAGCTTCAAAAACAACTTATTTGGCCACCTGTGACAGAACTTGATCCAAAATGTTACATTCCAGAGGTGCTTTATTGATCAGCGATGTGTATTCAATTATTTGATTTGCTTAGACCCTTAAACTAACCGTGTCTCGCCAATTTTGCGAAACGTTGATTGCCCACCCTAGAAGACGGCTTATTCATGAAGGTCTGCTTTCGTACATAGGTTTGGACAGCGTTTCTGCCGATCTGACTGCTGTTATTTTCACTAAAAATATTTTAGAGAACCAAAAATCTACGGAGGTTTATCTGTTTCTTTTCAACGATATGTTACTAGTGACAAGAATTAAAAAGTCGAATATGCTAACAAAGGTAAACGTCTGCCTTACTCCATTTAACTGTGCTGAATTTATGAACAACATTAAAACTAACATTTAAAGTATATATGTTTGTTGACGATGAATGAATAAATGAGTGCCTCCATAGAGCATGCAACAGCGACGAATGTCCATTTCGCTGATTTATACGGTCTTGCTTCACTGACTGACTTCATATATCACCTATCATTTCTTACTTAGCAAGACATACTTGATGCTGCAATTTCTTAACACGCTTCGGGATGTCCTTCATCGTGTTCATCAAGATGTTAGGGAGAATATTAACACTGTTGAAAAGGGCAGTGACGTCTAACGAGGCCATGAAGCAATCCTGATGATCATATTATTTCATTCTTTGTAGAAACATATTTCTGTCTTTCTCGGTAAGCTCCTTTAGCAGCAGGTTACAGTAATAAATCAAGCTCTCTCGCAATCTAATGTCACTGTTGCCCTAGTCGGTATGATAACACTCAACTAGTTGCCAGGCTTATGGAATTTCACTAATCCATAAGGGTTTGAGGTTACACATGAATCAATACTAGGAAGGATTCTCTGCACACACTTTTGGCTGACGGTTTTTTTGTTCTGCAAATTTCTTAAAATTTGCAGTGGCTTTTGGCGAGTTATCTTGTCAGGGTTGGCCTTACTTTGGAGTTTGGTTTATACATCACTGTTCCTGAAGCGTTCCAACATTCTCGGTTTATATTTATCCATAGGCACCACCACTGTCTTCGCGCCTTTGCGATTGCAAAGGACCATATGTTTGTTGCCCTTTAACTTCTTCAGTCCTTTATGGCCGAAACATGATAGGCAGCTATGTTGGGATGAGATTTATGGATTTTATTGCAGACAGTGAGACCAACGTTAGAAATGATATCTTAAGGTTTTTGAGCTTTTCACTGAAGTGAAGGAACCTTCCTCTTCACCGATCGCATTGTCCAAGATGGAGCCAGTAGTATCAGCAGTGCTGAATTGAGGTTTCTGCGTAAACACGTCTCGTTCAGGTTCCATAAATGTAACGTTTTTCAGATTCACTACTAGGCTGTCACAGAAATTCCGATCAGGCCCTATTTGGCCAAGGATGAGCCAAATGAAAGTAGTTTTGTTCGCTTGATGAACATTAGTGCCTTCATGCAGTCATTTGTGCTCAGCTCAGCCCTGATGATGCGGCTTTCTATGTGATGAAACACGTTTGCAATAAATGGTTTTCCTATCTATTGTATTTGGTGCCCTGAACCATGAATCGTAATAAACACCTCTCAATGTACTTAAATTTTAATGTTTTGCTGGACTGATTCGATTCCATGTTTTTGTCTTTGGACGTTTCGTTTCAGAAACCTAGTCAGGATCTACGAATAACTAATATGTACAAGTTCATCGTATGTCGCCAGCCGATTCCTTTGGATTCTTGTGTATTCTGCGACATTGGACCGGTGCAAATAAATGGAGGTATGTGTTCAGACAAGGAGGCTTCGTGCCAAACAGTTTAAAGCTGTGCATTACAACAGACAACAATCTGAAGAACTCGTTTGCGATTTTGCATCTCACTCGTTTTTATCAGTTGATCGCGTTGTACACACTGCAAGCGCCAACGAAGGAGAGCAAAGTACAATCTCAATAAGTCGCCGATTGGTTATTTGATCCTAGGAAATTGCCTTTGGAATTTTAGGAAACATGGATTCAGAAGTTTCAGGAATCTGTCGACAACTACGAGCTTATACAGCTGCGGGACATTCTGCATTGTACTCACCTGCTTCATTCCCAAGATGCGTCATGAATCGACGAAATGTTATATCGTCTAGATTTGGTCGTCGATTTTGGTCTGTCATCGCTCAAAATCAATCGATGAACTGGCCTACATAAACATGTCTCGTCGTCCGTTTTATTATTCAAAATATACAAAGCATGACTTAATGCAATTGTGGCTGATATATGAGCAGTTGTCTATTTTCTGTATATTACGCATCAAATGAAGCCTGTACTACATCTGTACAGTATATCGAAAATGCTTACTTGCGCGAATCTAGCGTAAAATATCAGCATTAATGTGTCCATTCATTAAAGTTCGAATTCACTGTTCGTATGTAAATGGGGATATCCTGAAAGTGATTCTGCAACGGTAAACCCGGGGACAGTTAAACGACAGTAAAACTCTTGTTTCAACTTAACGACGCTAATATTTAAGGTTTGGCAGACTTCATTCTGGATTTCTCATATTCTAGAAATCGAAGCGGTGTAATCATGGCGTCAATTATTTCACGGATATTCAGGCCGCTTTGCAACAAGTTGTCGTCAGCGAATAAACTATGTTGAAAAAGGTTCTTCTAGAAAGTGTGGGAATGCTGATGATATTTAGATGGGTAAATGTTAACCAAAATTCAGCGATATGTTACGTCATTCACACTGTTTACATGATTTGTTGTTCTTCAGAATTTTATGGTATATGGTTTTATTTTCATTCTATTTTATGATTTACTTTGCTTATGAAATTCGTAACATTATGTTCTTTCTACGATGCAGTAACTGATGCCTTACGGCAGGAGTGTTATAAAATTGCAAACACAACTGACATCACAAGCCTGAGAAGTTCTGATTATCCAAGTGGCACAGTGTCTTTGAAGTCTGCTTCGAGATCTGGGAGTGTTGGTTTCATTCCGCTCGAGGGCAATCTTTGCCTTATTCGCGAATTTCTTTGAGCAAGAAATTTACCGCACGTTGCTTCAGGCAGAGCTTGCTCAATGAGTATAGCGTCGAACTCAAAATCTATAGGTCCCGAGTTCAAGGCCCGGTCGGGGTTACTCGCCCTTGATCCTTCTGATGTTGATAAACGTGTGCCCGATTTGAGAAAAGCAGAGGATTGAACGTTACGCTTCCAACATGTATGTAGACTCTGCCTTTAATAATAAAAGGGACTCCTGGCTAATGGCACAAAAATGGAGATCAGCACACACCATCAACTTCACGAAAAGAACGGCGCGAAAATGACCTAATCATGAAAGTAAAGCATGACTGACATTACATCTGTGACGAACTTTTCTTTCTTCCTTTTATTTACTGAGACAGCTCAAGGTGATGATCACAAGCAACAACATGAGGTGTATTACACATAGCAGCACTTACATCGTAAACAGATCACTTCCCAGTATAAAATTAAATTGATTTTTAGAGTAAGGCTGGCCATTTCTGCTTTGCACATATATGTCCCTAACACTTTG